GCGGGGGGCGCGGGCCGGGCCGGGGCCACAGCCGAGCCGGAGCCGAGCCCGGGGAGCCGCGGCCGGGCGGGGAGCAGGCATGGCGCCGCGCGGGACCGCGGCCCGCGCCAGTGCGGGCGGCCTGGGCGCCGAGTAGCCGGGCCGGGCCGGAGCCCGGGCTGCGGCGGCGGCAGCGGCGGCGGAGGCAGCTGTGCCCCCGCCCTCGCAGGCCCCGCGCCCCGCGCCCGGGCCGCCGGCGATGGTGACACATGCGGCGGCGGCGCGCCGGCGGCAGGACCATGGTTGAGCGCGCCAGCAAGTTCGTGCTGGTGGTGGCGGGCTCGGCGTGCTTCATGCTCATCCTGTACCAGTACGCGGGCCCGGGGCTGAGCCTGGGAGCGCCCGGCGGCCGCGCGCCGCCCGACGACCTGGACCTTTTCCCCACGCCAGACCCGCACTACGAGAAGAAGTACTACTTCCCGGTGCGCGAACTGGAGCGCTCTCTGCGCTTCGACATGAAGGGCGACGACGTGATCGTCTTCCTGCACATCCAGAAGACTGGCGGCACCACCTTCGGCCGCCACCTCGTGCAGAACGTACGCCTCGAGGTGCCCTGCGACTGCCGGCCCGGCCAGAAGAAGTGCACCTGCTACCGGCCCAACCGCCGCGAGACCTGGCTCTTCTCCCGCTTTTCCACGGGCTGGAGCTGCGGGCTGCACGCCGACTGGACCGAGCTCACCAACTGCGTGCCCGGCGTGCTGGACCGCCGCGACCCCGCCACGCTGCGGACTCCCAGGTGAGCGCCTGGGGCTGCGGGGCTCCCCGGTCCCGCCCCGCCCCTGCCTTCCTGGAGCCCCGCGCGCCGCATCTCCGCTGCACCCCCTCCCTACCTGCCGGGCTCCCGGCCCCGGTTCGTCCGCCGCGGCCCGCCCTCACCCCTGCTCGTGCATCTCGCCTTCATCTCCTCTTCTGCTCGCCTCCACTTTTCCCCACCACCCGCCAGGCCGGCGGCACCCAGGCTCCCCGGGACAGCAGCTAGTGCCCTCGGGGTGCCGTCTGCGGTGAGCCGCGGGCCGCCCCAGCTGTAGATCCAACCTGGCCTTGGGTCGTGGAGCGGGAAGGTGGGTCCCTGATTGTGTGTAGCCCACCTGGAGTGTTCGCGTCCTGCACCGCTCTGACACCAGAAGTGGAGATGAGACAAGGGAAGTGTCTCCCCCTGCTCCCGGGAGGCCCCCACCCGCCCGCCTGTCTTCCGAGGTGGGGAGGAGCTGCCGGGGAAGGGGGCTGGCCCTGCCTGCCGGTGTGTGCAGGTAGAACAAAGGCCCGAGTGTGACCTGGGTGGGGGCGGGGAGGAGGCTGTACTGCCTGTCTGCGCTCCCAGGATGGACCGGAACCGGGTACAAGCTCGCTCTGAAGGAGGTACAGGCAGGTCACTAGCCAGGTTGCAGGTAGCTGAGCTGGTGGGGGGCCCCATGCAACCAGACCCCTTCCCTGGGCTTCTC